CCATATAGTAGCAGCCATATAGTAGCAGCCATATAGTAGCAGCCATATAGCAGCAGCCATATAGTAGCAGCCATATAGTAGCAGCCATATAGTAGCAGCCATATAGTAGCAGCCATATAGTAGCAGCCATATAGTAGCAGCCATATAGTAGCAGCGTCATATTCTAGCAGCCATATAGTAGCAGCCATACAGTAGCAGCCATATAGTAGCAGCCATATAGTAGCAGCGTCATATAGTAGCAGCCATATAATAGCAGCCTCATATAGTAGCAGCCATATAGTAGCAGCCATATAATAGCAGCCATATAGTAGCAGCCATATAGTAGCAGCCATATTGTAGCAGCCATATAGTAGCAGCGTCATATTGTAGCAGCCATATAGTAGCAGCCATACAGTAGCAGCCATATAGTAGCAGCCATATAGTAGCAGCGTCATATAGTAGCAGCCATATAATAGCAGCCTCATATAGTAGCAGCCATATAGTAGCAGCCATATAATAGCAACCATATAGTAGCAGCCATATAGTAGCAGCCATATAGTAGCAGCCATATAGTAGCAGCCATATAGTAGCAGCCATATAGTAGCAGCCATATAGTAGCAGCCATATAGTAACAGCGTCATATAGTAGCAGCCATATAGTAGCAGCTATATAGTAGCAGCCATATAGTAGCAGCCATATAGTAGCAGCCATAAAGTAGCAGCCATATAGTAGCAGCCTCATATAGTAGCAGCCATATAGTAGCAGCCATATAGTAGCAGCCATATAGTAGCAGCGTCATATAGTAGCAGCCATATAGTAGCAGCCTCATATAGTAGCAGCCATATAGTAGCAGCCATATAATAGCAGCCATATAGTAGCAGCCATATAGTAGCAGCCATATAGTAGCAGCAATATAGCAGCAGCCATATAGTAGCAGCCATATAGTAGCAGCCATATTGTAGCAGCCATATAGTAGCAGCCATATAGTAGCAGCCATATAGTAGCAGCCATACAGTAGCAGCCATATAGTAGCAGCCATATAGTAGCAGCCATACAGTAGCAGCGTCATATAGTAGCAGCCATATAGTAGCAGCCTCATATAGTAGCAGCCATATAGTAGCAGCCATATAATAGCAGCCATATAGTAGCAGCCATATAGTAGCAGCCATATAGTAGCAGCCATATAGCAGCAGCCATATAGTCGCAGCCATATAGTAGCAGCCATATAGTAGCAGCCATATAGTAGCAGCCATATAGTAGCAGCGTCATATAGTAGCAGCCATACAGTAGCAGCCATATAGTAGCAGCCATATAGTAGCAGCGTCATATAGTAGCAGCCATATAATAGCAGCCTCATATAGTAGCAGCCATATAGTAGCAGCCATATAATAGCAGCCATATAGTAGCAGCCATATAGTAGCAGCCATATAGTAGCAGCCATATAGTAGCAGCCATATAGTAGCAGCCATATAATAGCAGCCATATAGTAGCAGCCATATAGTAGCAGCCATATAGTAGCAGCCATATAGTAGCAGCCATATAGTAGCAGCGTCATATAGTAGCAGCCATATAGTAGCAGCCATATAGTAGCAGCCATATAGTAGCAGCCATATAGTAGCAGCCATATAGTAGCAGCCATATAGTAGCAGCCATATAGTAGCAGCCATATAGTAGCAGCCTCATATTGTAGCAGCCATATAGTAGCAGCGTCATATAGTAGCAGCCATATAGTAGCAGCTATATAGTAGCAGCCATATAGTAGCAGCCATATAGTAGCAGCCATAAAGTAGCAGCCATATAGTAGCAGCCTCATATAGTAGCAGCCATATAGTAGCAGCCATATAGTAGCAGCGTCATATAGTAGCAGCCATATAGTAGCAGCCTCATATAGTAGCAGCCATATAGTAGCAGCCATATAGTAGCAGCGTCATATAGTAGCAGCCATATTGTAGCAGCCATATAGTAGCAGCCATATAGTAGCAGCCATATAGTAGCAGTCATATTGTAGCAGCCATATAGTAGCAGCCATATAGTAGCAGCCATATAGTAGCAGCCATATAGTAGCAGCCATATAGTAGCAGCCATATAGTAGCAGCCATATAGTAGCAGCCATATAGTAGCAGTCATATAGTAACAGCCATATAGTAGCAGCCATATAGTAGCAGCCATATAGTAGCAGCCATATAGTAGCAGCCATATAGTAGGAGCCATATAGTAGCAGCCGTATAGTAGCAGCCATATAGTAGCAGCCATATAGTAGCAGCCGTATAGTAGCAGCCATATAGTAGCAGCCATACAGTAGCATCCATATAGTAGCAGCCATATAGTAGCAGCCATATAGTAGCAGCGTCATATAGTAGCAGCCATATAGTAGCAGCCGTATAGTAGCAGCCATATAGTAGCAGCCATATAGTAGCAGCCGTATAGTAGCAGCCATATAGTAGCAGCCATACAGTAGCAGCCATACAGTAGCAGCCATATAGTAGCAGCCATATAGTAGCATCCATATAGTAGCAATCATAAAGAAGATGACATTTAGTAGCTGCCATATACTACCATCAATATAGTAGCAGTCATATAATAGCAACCATATAGCGCAGCCATATAGTAGCAATCATATAGTAGCTGCCACATAGTACAGCTATATAGTAGCAGCAATGTAACACAGCCTTATAGCAGTAGCCATTTTGTAGTAGCCGTATACTTAACAATAAATATATATGTAAATATGCGTATATAAGAAAACGCGTATATAGCCCACTAGTTTCTGTTGTTGTTACGCATGGAATACGAATAGATATTAGCAAGACAAGTCAGTGACCTACTTACTATAAATAGTTTTAGGGTGTATGCTAGAATGTAGATTGAAAAAAATATGTCTAGTATAGCCAGGGCCGAATTTATGCTGCATAAGGCACTATGCTGTATGTGATATGGGGCCCATCCTAAGGACGTGTAAACGTGTCAACATAATGTGTGTCTGTGTATTGTCCATTTAGAACTTATGTGTAAACATATTATGTTTGCCTTTGTATCGCCCTTTTCGACCTTATGTATATGCATAATGTGGGTGCATTGCCATCTTCTATTTAGACCTTTTTACGTGCAAACTAATTCTGCATGTGTTTTATATCGCCCGTTTAGAACTTCGTATGTGAAAACGTTCGTGTAAAGAAGATTTCTATGCCTTGTTAGCGACTATCTTAACCCTTTTTTATGTACATTTAATCCGTGTGCATTTCTATCGTTTACTTAGACCTTCTACGTGTAAATCTAATATGTTTGTCTTTTTTTATTTAGACCTGTTAAAACATAATCTGTATGCATTTCTATAGTTCATTGGGACCTTATGTGTAAACATAAAATAAAAGCTTTTGTATATACCACTTAGACTTTGTCTGTAAACCTAAAATGTGTGCTTTTCTATCGTACTTTTAGACCTTATGTTTAAATATATATATATATACTAGCTGCATCCCGTGCTCCGCCACGGTAAATCTTTTTTAAATGTACCAACTTTGGAACAGAACAAAACAAACAAAAACAACACAAACACAAAAAACACAACCACAACCACAACACAACCACAACACAACCACAACTTTAACACAGCCACAACACAACCACAACACAACCACAACACAACCAAAAAACAACCACAACACAACCACAACAAAACCACAACATAACCACAACACAACCAAAACCACAAACAAAACACAACCACAACACAACCACAACCACAAACAAAACACAACCACAACACAACCACAACAAAAACACAACCACAACACAACCACAACACAACCAAAAATCAACCACAACACAACCAAAAAACAACCACAACACAACCAAAAAACAACCACAACACAACCACAACACAACCAAAAAAAAAAAACAACACAACCACAACATTAGAATCACCACCAAACAACACGCTTTTTTAGGCGTCCGCGCCCAAAGAGAGCCTTTCCGACATTAAAAATTTAAGTCACATAAATAGATCCTACTCAATAACTTATAATAAAACAATGCGATGCAAATGAATGTACGGCAAGTGGTGTTTACTTTTATGGTTCTAAGAAAACACATTGGCAATGTAATTAGAATTACCACCGAAAAACACGCTTTTCCCAGGCGTCCGCGCCTAGAGAGAGTCTTTCCAGCATTCTCTATACTATAATTATAAAATTTCACCATCTGTTAACACCAAAAAACAAAAACAAAAAATAGTGATTTTGAGAAATCATAGACTAATTAGAAAATAATATAAATAATCTTAACATTTTTCTCTTTTAATTATGAACCTTAACATAGACTAATCAATGCGGTAGTAATAAAAAAAAGATTAACTTAAATTATTGTTGAGTTAAATATATTTTCAAATTACCTCCCTTGAAAAAATTACCACACAAAAAAAAGTTGAATTAATTAGTTTTTTCGACCTACTTTTATGGAAATGTATCCATTTTTTCTAGGAATATAAACTAAAATGATATTTGACATTGATTTTTTAATATGTTTTAGCAATGTGCGAATATTTAATATTTTCATAACGTTATGCAAAAAAGTAAACACAGTGGCATTTATAAAATAGCTCTATGCCGTTATATAAACAAACCCTACTCTAATACTTATAATAAGACACTGCGGTGCACTGAAAAGCACAGCATGGTGCGAATGTTTACTTTTATGGTTCCAAAAGCTATAGCGATGACAGAAGGAAGGAAGGACTGACACACGCTCAGCCCGCTTATATTATAGATATATATATATATATATATATATATATATATAAATATATATATATATATATATATATATATATATATATATATTATATATTATATATATATATATATATATATATATATATATATATATATATATATATATATATATATATGTGTGTGTGTGTATTTTTATAGTCCATTTAGATCTTCCCTCGTGTAAAAATGAGCGAAGTAAAGTCCAAAAAGATCGTCCATCAGTTGTACGTAACGATGAACGAGAACATAAAAATGGGGGCCAGGCTAAATCTTGAGGCCATACCTGCACATGGCCAGCAGATTATGGCCAAACTCAGCAAGAGATCAATCAATAGGTGAGGCAATCTTCGATTGACTAGTGCTCAATCATAAAAAGAGATTTTTTAATGTCATTTTTTCAACAAGTGATATAATGTTTGATTGACTGTGGGTGACTCAACAGGTCAAATAATGTTCAATTGACTAAAGTTAAATCAAAATGTGAGATTTAAAAAATGGCACTTTTCAACAGGTGATATAATGTTAGATTATCAACAGGTGATCAAGCAATCAACTGATGGGACATTAGGCGATGGATATGCACATTACACGTTCTAAAATCTATTTTTTTAATTATTTTTTTTTCGGGGCGGGGGGGGGGGGGAGAGGGAATATATTTAATTACCACTTTCTGTTATGGGCTACCAATCAACAGTTACAAAAGCTTGCGTGTAGGATTTAATATTTGTAAGGTACTTAACATTCGGTCCACCAACTGAAACGATACGTATAGTATTAGCACACGTCCACACAGATAGATAGACACAGACAAACATAAACACAGATATGACAGCGAAACGGAGTATCTCCGACTAGGGATGGTACAAAAGATACAGATTTTTCAAAAATTGATTTTTATTTTGTGTGAGGTTGCAAGATTTTATCTCATACATTTGATATTATAGACAGCACATCAAAAACATAGCGTTAATTTACCTAGCATGATGATACTGAAGTAAAAACGTCAAAGGTTAATCAATTTTTTAAAACTTGTATACCATAACAAAGTTGGTTAGAGATATCCATTCTATGAATAGCTACCTTCGTTATATTGTATGTGCGACTCTTATCATCCTTTCCCGTTCGTGCCCAAGACCTATAGAGAATATGAAGTAATGCACAGCAGTTTCAGATACATCGGTTATGAATATGAATCTGAAGCGATAATGTGGTCAGAACTATGACCCGCCGGCTGTATTTCACCTAAGTTATGTGCAAATCAGATCTTTGTGGTACATTCAGATACATTCTACTGACTTAAACCCCGATTCGAACTCAAGACATTCGGGCTACCAGTCTAGCTTTCTTCTGATAGGCCACGTCGTCCCGTTTGTGTTTCTTTATGTGCTTGTTATTTTCAACTAAACTAACATATGGTAAGGATTCGTCTTAAGACCTAACGATCCATTGGGCAGATGAAGTTGTGCTCATATGTTTCTTGACCTCGGCATATACAGAGATAATGTGGTCAGCACTATGCTCAGCCGCTTTTACTTTCCCTAACGTGAGTTAGGTATCCATCAGAGTTGGGTGGATTCAGGGACGTTCCAATAACTTGAAGCCGAATCGAATTGGAAACTATCGGGTTAGCAGTCTAGCGCTCCACCGCTAGGCCACGCCGTCAAACTAACATATGAGCGTTTCATATGTAGAGACAACTGAATAAACAAAACCTTCAAGATATGTGTGTTTTGATTTATTTATTTTTAAATCACGACACAGTGTTAAAGTTGCAGATAAATAAATATGTATTAGCATGATCAACGATTTAAATGTTGCACACAACTTTTTCTTTTCTCTCTCTGTAGCTACGACGGTTCAGCCATCTTCATCCCCGATGGCATCCGAGGCGCCCGAGTCCTTGACGTTGGATGTGGGGGAGGTCTTCTGGCCTTCACCTTGTCGAAACTCGTCGGTCCATCAGGCTACGTCGTTGGTGTTGACGGTTCGGAAAAATTCGTAAGGTTTCTTGTTATGGAAATGTAATCTAATATGTGCATTTAAAATGTTCCCATTAATATCTAGGTCGTACTCTTGAACAGTAGGTTAACAGTTAGATATATTTCAAATAGAAATTTCAATTACAAAATATTGTTGTGTTTTATACATATACACATATATATATATATATATATATATATATATATATATATATATATATATATATATATATATATACATATACATATAGCCCATATATAAATATATATGTATATATATATATATATATATATATATATATATATATATATATATATATATATATGTGTGTGTGTGTGTGTGTGTGTGCGCTTGTGAGTGCTTGTTATATACTTACAAATAAGTAAATCAAACAGATCAAGTTATGTAAAGAAGTGACCGACTACCACATGAATGAGTGGGGCTACAGTCAACCAAACTGTGAGTTCATACAAACTGATGTAGAGAAGTTGATGGACTTACAGCTCGAGCCGTTTGATGTCATTGTGTTAGTATATAATTCGTCATGTTTGCATTTGTTTTTTCTGTATCGAAATAATAATAGTAATAATTAAAAAAAATATATATAATAATCAGAAGAAGACGAAGAATAAATATAATAGAAATAATAACAATAATAATAATAAAAATAATTTTAATAATAATAATAGTAATAATAATAAATAATATTAATAATAATATTAATGATAATAATAATAATAATAATATTAATAATAATATTAATGATAATAATAATAATAATAATAATAATAATAATAATAATAATAATAATAATAATAATAATAATAGTTATATGAACATATTTACATTTGTTTCTATTTAACTAAGAATACAATATATATGTATATATATAAATATATATATATATATATATATATATATATATATATATATATATATATATATATATATATATATATATATATCAGTCATTTTAATACCCGCATTCTATTATTCTTAGAGCGAACGGACTAGTGTGTTTAATACCCAACAAGACAAATATATTTCACATCTTGTCTAGTTTACTCAAGGTAATATTTACATTACACTACTTTAGCATGTTATAATAATTTTAAAAATACTGAAATATTTTTTTCATCATCTAAAAATGATTTTTTTCTTAAAATTCCCCTTTCTTATGTTTAGGAGGTGAATAATTAATATTTTTTTTTCTTTTTCATCTTTTACGCCGCGTTTACACTTTGAACATGTAGGGTAAACTATATATGTTTGTAAAAAAATAAACCGGGAGTGATCTCCCCTAAACTTTCTCGAATATTCTTATATAAAACAACAGGGGATGGGAACTCGGGCTATAGACATGATTTTTAATCCATTTTAAATACTTAAAGTTTTTAAAATAGAATAAAATCTCGTAGACAAAAGAATTGCACACCAAGTAAACGCCAACTAAAAAGTGCATAATAGTGCGCAATATTATTAGTTCCTTTTAGAAATCGTAAATTACTACTTCCGGTCAACGAAAATTACTCATAATTTAAAAGAAGGTAGAGAATTAGATCTTTTACTTACATGTGAAATTTCATTTATCTATCTGAAATAGTACTCAAGTTATAGGCTTTTGAAACATTCAAAGTAGAAAATTACCTCTTCCGGTTATCGGAAATAGCTTAAAAGTTGATACGGATCTACGATTTTGATAAAATACTTATATGAAATTTCATCAACCTAGCTGTAACGGTACTAAAGTTATCGTGTTTACACACGGACAGACACACACACAGACAGACACACGGACAGAATTGCAAAGCCCAGTTTTTCAGACTGAATTACGCATAAAACCTCTTAATTTTGATAAATCTGGATTTATAATTTTTGCCCGATTAAAATGAGTCCTCTATACTTCGGATGTGATGAAGGACTGAGGTGTAATACGGTGAAAATTGTTAAAAGTGATTTTTGTGCACGATTACAATACTTTTTCTCTATACTTCGTATATACGAAAAAGTAAAAAGGGAGAATAAGTTTATTTTTTACAACATATATACGGGAGAGGATGGAGGGCGACTCAGTTATTGCAGGTTTTTTTTTTCTCTAGAGGTGTATACAATAGTCCTGTCGCAAATGTAAACGCGCTGTTTTAAAGAGTTATTTACTTAAATGTCCTGTATTTTCTTTTAGGAAGGTGGAGAGTTTTACGACAGCGACATCTTCTCTGACGTGGAGCAATGTCTGGAAGTCAAGAACAATCCCATCTATAACTGTGAGCTTCATAACATTCACATATCTGTCGTTTGAACAACTGAAGACCACATGGGATAAATCACATTTGTCAGTTTTCTACTTATCAGAAACATGAGATGCAGTGTTTGAGATCCCTTGTTGTTCCAATGTAGCATGATTTTAAAATCCTCAATATTAAAGGGATCGTGGTTGTTTTCATATTGCAGCATTTTATCCAAGCATTTCTTCGGGGGAGCTCAGTCCCGCCCCGATGGAAGTCGATTGCTCCCCGAACAATATGGGATTTATATAGAATATGTATACTTTTAACAGCGTCTGCCCCTTCCCTCCATTACATTTCAGTCCGCCCCCTTCCCCTCGAAAATTTCAAGTGCCCCCTCCTCCGGAGAAAAATGTCTAGAAGAAACACTGACACTAACACTAGCCCTTGTGTCTAACAAACACTACTTGACGTCTTATAACATGAACTTTGCGATTCATCTGTAACCTCTTACGTCATTGTATACACCTCTACTCCGCCCCACCCCCGCAGGCTACGGCGTCAGTGAGGCGATGATCTGGTCTGACCTACAAAGAGTTGCAGGCAGGGTGGGGTTCTCTGATCCCTACCTGATCTACGCCGCTGAGACGTTTCAGTTTGAACATGAGAAGCTCAAACAAGATCTGAGTGAGTGAATGATTATAATAATCAGTAGATATTATCTGAGTGAGTCAATGATTATAAAAATATGTTTATAATATGTGATTGAGTAAATGATTTTAATAATAATTAGTTGAGAGCTAAGTGGGTGAATGATTGTAACAATCATTAGTCATGAAATGAATGAGTAAATGTTTTTAGCACTTGTTAGATTATATATAAGTGAGTGAATGAATGATTGCAACAATCAGTAGATACTTTCGGAGTGAGTGAATGATTGTAACAATTATTAGATAAGATGTGAGTGAATGATTTCAAAAATTTATTAGACTTTAGATATCTAGTTAAATGATTGCAACATAAAATTAAACAATATTTGAGATAGAGATCGACTGTAAAATCAATTCTAAATGATCTAAGCAAATGAATGATTGTAACAAAGATTCAACAATATCTGAGTGAGTGAATTATTTTATTGTCAAAAATAGCTGATTACAAATTACTATATTGCGTCGTTTCTGTATTAGCTAGTAAACTTCGTCAAAAGGGGTCGTCCATAAATGACGTCACACTTGTAGGGGGGAGGGGGGGTTCAGTAACTTTGTGACGGTATGTGATGAGAGGGAGGGGGGGGGGGTGTTCAGATGGTGTGACGTCATACTTTTTCAATATAAAAAAGCAATGTTAGAAGACGAATTTTATCCGTTATTTCGCGTTTTAGAAAACTGTTTTAATAAATGGTATTAGTATTTGATTAAAATACTCTATATAGACAGATTTCAGAAAATTAAAAAAAAATAGTGATGTTTTAAAAAATATTTAACTGCAATTTTGAAGGCGGCTGAGGTGTGTCGTCATTTAAGGGTGGGGGGTCTGGCATTTTGTGACGATGTGTGACGAGGGGGAGGGTGGGGAGGAGGTAAAATCTTCAAAAAAGCGTGACGTCATTTATGGATGACCCTTTATATAAAGAACTAAAGTTTTTAAAAAAATCGCAGTATTGTTTAAGGGGGATAACAGTATCAATTATTGTACAAGGGGCTAACTGTCAATTATTGTACAAGGGGGCTAACTGTATCTATTATTGTACAAGGGGCTAACTGTGTCAATTATTGTACAAGGGAGTTAACTGTAAAAAGTAATGTAAAATGGGGCTAACTGTGTCAATTATAGTACAAGCTATAAATACTACGTATTTTACTCTCCAGGGGGAGTTAACTACGCCTGTGCCGTCTACCATCTCATCAAGTTGGCGCCTGAACAATCTGAAGGAGGCGCCGTTGTGACGTACAAGGGAACGCTAGATAACTGTGATGAGTCGTTTAAGTGGGATGTTGATCTAACATTTAAAGTATGATTTGTTATATTTTTAAACTTGTAGAGGGGATGGGTGCTTTATTTTGATGCTTTTAGTAATTTCCTATTATTATTTACAATACATTGTATGTATAGTAATCGTGTTTTTTTTTTCAAAACTGAAATTTAAAAAAATGTTATAAATGCTTGCAGCGTAATGTCCCTGTGAAAATAGACGGGTACCTTGCAAGTCTCTTGGCTAGATCCAAATACTCAAACCACTTTGTTATTGATGAGTGCATTGACAAGGCCACTACACAAAGGGTAAGGATGTCAATATTGGTTAAATACATGTAAAGTATTTTAAACATAAAAAAATTGTTAAGGTCGTCTTTTATTACTACAAGTGCCAAGTGCTAGATTATCGCATACTTATGTTTTGATAAATGCTACTAGAATATATATATATATATATATATATATATATATATATATATATATATATATATGTATGTACATATATATATATATATATATATGTATATATATATATATATATATATATATATATATATATATATATATATATATATATATATATATATATATATATATATATATATATATATCCATGTTACATTAAAACAATAATTTAGACTGTCATTAACTTAAGCATTTTCTCATCTAGAACCAGAATCCATTTGTGTACTTGAAGAAGTTGCGAGACGAAGGCGGGGATTACCCTAAACCTATTTACCCAATGGTAGGGATGTTTTTATACAAGTGCATGTGATGTGTTATGTAATGTATGTAGTTTTGTATATGAAGTTGCACTTATACGTGTATGGATTGTTGTCACATCTGGCAGATGAAGTAGAGTTCATCTGTTTCAATGACCACGGCATTTGAGGTGGTAATTTTTTCAGCACTGTTCCCAGCTGTCTTAGTTTCCTAACTTGAGTCAGGTACCCATCACAGCTGGGTGGACTCAGGTAGAATTCTACAGACTCGAGCCTTGAATTCGAACTTTAGACTTTTGGGTTAGCAGTCCTAGCTCTACAATTGGGCCCCCATTGAAAGATACTATTTAGTGTAAATTTGTTTGAGATCTCACCCCGACAAAACTAATCCCTAGATATGTGTCAGACATTGTTTGAAAAGGTTGTTTTTTTTTTCAGGATGAATACAACAATAAATTTTTTGAAGGCGTCATTGACAAGTCAATGTAAAGATTGTTATCAGAAAATTAATTAGGGAAATTATCATTGGTATCTAATTTAGCAAATGCTAATTAAAATTATGTGATTGCACTATTTTGTAATTGTTATAGCCCAATATAAATGATATAATAATATCGCCTAGGAGTCGTTCATAAATGACATAACATTCGTATTGGGGAGGAGGGGGGTCCGGAATTGTGTTACGGTGTGTGATGATGGGGAGGGACGGTCAGATGGCGCGACGTCACACTTTTGCATAATAAAAAAGCAATGTTAGAAAACGAATTTAAGACGTTATTTCGCATTTTAGAAAACTGTTTTAAAAAATTGTAATAGGAATTTATTAAAATACTCTATTTTGATAGAGTTCAGACAAGATTTTTGACAAATATCGATGTTTAAAAAAAAAATCAACTGCAATTTTGAGGGGGGTTGTAGGCTGAGGTGTGACGTCATTTTAGGGGTAGGGGGTGGCTTTTTGTTACGATGTGTGACGGAGGGGAGGGGGAGGTAAATATCGTCAAATAAAACGTGACGTCATTTATGGATGACCCCCTACACATCTATGTGAAAATTTGTATTGCATTTTTCTTATAAACAACGTAATTGCTTATTCTTGAAAGCATTATTATTCTTATTATGCTATTAGCAAGCGTATAGAAATTCTTAATTGAAAGGCTTTTGTGAACATTGATATTGTCAGATATATGTAAACAACAAAATAAATAACCCTAAGCTCATCTGCTCGAGGGTTCGAACTCGAGACTTTTCGCTGGCCGGAAAAATCAACTCAGAAAACCAGCAAACCAAACAACTACTCCCTTGCTGACAGAGGCGTAGCGACCCTTCCCGGCCCCAGGGGACAAACTTTTCGATTTGCACCCCCCCCCTACCTCAAGATTTTGATTTGCACACCCCTCCCTTCATATTGCAGCCCCCTCAACCTTTCAATTTATTTTTCCAACCCATTTTGGCGCCCCTAAGGTCGGCGCCTGGGGACATGTGTCCACCCCCCCTTGCTACGCTACTGCTTGCTGAGCTTTCTTATGTGAACACAGACTGTGTGAGGTTAAACCAGAAATAATATTAGACTAAAGTAGGAGACAATAGGCCTTCTGGTTAATAACATATTGCCATGTAATGATTAATTGTGCTGTGGAAGACACTTTCAAGAAATATCACAATTAACAACGGAGAAGAATGAGAAGAATGAAATTCTTCTTCTTCTTCGTTCTTAATTATTAGTGTTGAAGGGGATCGAGATTTATCTGCCAGTGGGTTTGAACTCGAGACTTTGTTCGAATTTATCAACCATGAGCTTTTTGCCGACTCGACCACGCCTTCAACACAATTAAGCGTTACTTGTCAACTGGTTATGCGCCATTGAGGCCATTGACTCCGATGTCAGCCTGCTTTTCTTTTTGGATTTGCTGCCATAGCCTTTGTCCAACCAAGAACAAACAACAAGGCAGCAGTTGTTTAATTTTGGAGTTGTCTCTCCTAGAAGAGTGGCTGTCCCCAGCTAACGAGCCTCATCTGCTCGAGGGTTCGAACTCGAGACTTTTCGGTTTAGCAGCCATGAGCTTTACCAACTCGACCACGCCGAATGAAATAGTATGAGCCAGTAAAGCGGTGTAGTTAGATGTTGATCTTAATATACTGCACATGTCAAATGTGTTGACAAAAGTTCAGTGTGTATTATTATCGTTGAGTGATATTGCATTTTTTTTTACTTTTGATTTCATTGTATGTGTTAATTACCTGCAATGTATACATTTACATTAATAATTATTACTACTCTGTTACAGATATATAGTAGACAGTTTATTAGTTTGGTTACTTGTGTTTGTTATGCTCGGTGTATTAGCTTTCACTACAAATAAATATGTTTTACATATCCGTGAATGATTTGTTTACGTGTTTGGCTTGCTATTAACGTTTTTATAATCCTCCGTGATTTGCATAATCGGTGCCGACTTTGAGATGCGTCGATATGGTATTTCTTTTTCTGTGGGCGTAATGCGTGTATTAAGTAGATTGCTATAGGTGTATGAAATGCATAGTGTATTACATTCCTTGGTACAAGTAACACTTTGGTTTAACAGTATCGCATTCGATTACCTTGTTCCACTCCATACAGCGTACCGGAGTCCGCGTAGCTTTAATGGTACACGACAAACGTTAGGGATAACAGGGCGGTTTGGCATAGCGTTGACCACACTGTCGCTTTTAATGTCTAGGTATTGAAACAAATGAATTATATCTTCACCATGTGTCTTGGGCACTAACTAGGAAAGAGTATGAATAAGCATGTCTCTGGTATGCATCAAATACTGTAAGCAGTGGCGCAGCGAGGGGGGGGGGGGCCTGGGGATGCGGACCGCACCTGGTGTCACCAAGGCAAAAAATAGCAAAATATATAGAGAAAAATGATAATTCCATTTTATTAAGTGATTAATTCGAGTGTTAAATAGTCATTTAAGAGTAAATTTGACAAATCCCGACAAGGGTGGAGTGGGGAAGGGGTGCAAATCAAAAGTTTGAGTGGGGGGGGGGGGGGGTGCAAATCGAAAGTTGAAAATTGTCATTTTATCTCCGGAAGCCGGGAAGGGTCGCTACGCGTCTGGGGGTTGGCACCATTAAGTGCGGCACCGGGTGACACCCGACCTCGCTACGCCACTTACTGTAAGACACATTTCATAAATGAGTTAGCTAGAAACATAATTTTCCTTGATTGTATTCGTTTATTTCATATCATTAGCTGTAATGATTTTCTGACTTAAGATCGTCTTATAATCAGTGCTTTCGGAATATTGCAGAGGACACATTATTAAATACCATTTAAACGTACGCGTTTTTACATTCGCATTTAAAATTTGTTTGCACATAATGAAAACGGAAAATGACAACAGTGGCGCATTTGACTTTGAAAAAATAAAAAAGCTAAGTGGAATAGATAAGGGTTGATATGATTCGACCTAGAATCAGACTGGTCGCTACAAGGCCGTATATTTGTAACGCAATCGTAGACATATAATCTAGATCTAGAGTGAGTCTTGATAAACTCTTGATACATGATACACATCAAAAAGCTAATAGAATATACATCTAGATCTAGAAATCTAGTAAAATAAAGTTACAAGTAAGGTTCCCCTTAAAATCTGATGGTCTTTATGGGACAAGTAAGGTAGAGTTCGCCTGTTTCTGTTACCTCGGCATATAAAGGGATTGTGTGTTCAGCACTATGCCCAGCCGACTTTACTTTCCCTTACGTGAGTTAAGCACTCACCAGGAACTTATACAGACTTATTCCTGGATTAGACCGCGAGACCTTTGTGTTAGTTTTCAAAAGCTCTACCAGTTGAGTACACCGTCCCACAATAGAACGATAACCCAATCACAAACAATATATGATTTCATACAACGATATATATACATACATACACACATATATATATATATATATATATATATATATATATATATATATATATATATATATATATATATATATAGTCTTGAGTTCATCGCAATAGGTTGTATTTATGTAGGATAGGTATGTAACAGGTGTTCTATCCATTACAAAATATCTCACACACAATCAAAACATTTTTTAAAAAAAACGCAAGTATCCTATATAAATATTAGGTGTTAATAAAATAACATCACAATAACATGTGCCATGCATGTGTTAATACAATAATCAATATTTGACAAGTGTGTTCTATTCTGTGTACAGGTAAAAACAATGACAAAATGTACCTGGCGGTGACAACGATATTTGTATCCCTTCTTTTAGGTTCCCTACCTGCAGGTAATTGACGACTTCTTCTTCGTTCTTAATTTTTAGCGTTGGGAGGGATCGAGCCTTATCTGCCAGAGGGTTGAACTCGAGCCTTTTTTCGAATTTATCAATCATGAGTTTTGCCGACTCGAACATGCCTCCATCACATTTAAGGATTACGTGTCAACTGGTTATGCGCCATTGAGGCCATTGACTCCGATTTCAGCCTGCTTTTCTTTTTGGATTTGCTTCCATAGCCTTTGTCCAACCAAAAACAAACTACAAGGCAGCATTTGTTTGATTTTGGAGTTGTCTCTCCTAGAAGGGTGGCTGTCCCCAGCTAACGAGCCTCATCTGCCCAAAATAGACGTGTTTCTTTTGATGTATTTTTCAGCCAAGGTTCAATACTATGCTTATTTTTACTACACAAAATAATTTACAGTACCAGCAATGTTTCCTATATGAATCCTTTACCCAGCTTTAATTAATTCAAAGCATTATAACTTTACATATGATCAGCGACCACTTTATTTTTTGACTAAGCATTATCTTTCATAAACCAATATTTACTGCTTAGTAATGAACAGTTTGAGTTACCTAAACATGTGATCAAATACTAGTATTGCTAAATATGGAATATTTTCATCATATTTTGCCCATTCGTGCCCAGGACACATATGGCAGGTGGAGAGAGTGTATAAGTTTCAGAGACGAAGACATATGAGGGGGTAGTGTGTTCAACACTATGCCCATGTACTAACACATCGCAAAATACGAGTAGATTAGAAAAATTCAATGTGGTGTCTCTAACATGGGTTGGAGGTTTTACATATAGCATCCCCAATTAGGATAGCAGTGTTTCTTTCAGACTTTTATCTCCGGGAGAGGGGGGCACTAATGGGAGGGGATGACGGGGGACGTCCTAAATTTTCCTCTATATTGTAGTCTCCCCCCCCCCCGTAAAGATGCCTGAAAGAAACTCTGGAGAAGAGGTAGACAAATCCTGGGATAATATACTCAACGGACATAGATCTGTACATTCGAATTAATTTAACGTTTGTTCTACCTTAGCTTCAGGTTCGTTCTGTGGGTCCCCACCAGTTGTTACAAACAGCAGTTGGACGTTGCCGTGTGTTGGTGATAAGAATGAAATGTGTCACTTTGTCTGTGATTGGGGCTTCAAAGCCAACGGTCTGACGTACACGCATTGTAAGGACGACGGTCATTGGTCAGATCCTGGAAGGTGTTCTAGTAAACTTCTTTGATGTATTAGCAATGATTTCATTTAACAATATATATATATATATATATATATATATATATATATATATATATATATATATATATATATATATATATATATATATATA